TATTCCACAGAGTAATGCGTTATGTGTTTGTACTTAAGTTGCGTGATAATTTTTCTCCTTATGTTAAGGAGTTTCTTGGTATTTCGTTTGATGATTTCCTTAAAATCAGATGTATGCCTTTTTTCTATAAGGTTTATAAAACCCAAACCACTTCCTTAGTAGTAGAACTATTTTCATTCAGTAGGTCTGTGAGAAATACTCAAATCCAAGTGCCTCGTTTGAACCTTTTGTTGGAGAAGACTTTCCTTGTAAGGGTTGCTCGGGTGTTCAATAGTTTGCCACAGGTTCTTAAAATATTCAGTGCTTCGTAAAAATGTTAGAAGAAAAATTTACTTCAATATGCAGATGTTCATGGATTTTAATGTATATATTTTAGTTCCGTACTTTGAAAACTTTTTACTCGAGAAATTTGGTCGAGTAAAAATATTAAACAGGAATGCCTACTTCTGATTGGCTGTTATGTTGATTTTGAAGTATTGTCATCTAATTTTGGCATATTTACTAAATATGCGTTCCCGAACTTTTCAAATTATTTTGTATTCTGAGAGCAATTTTGAAATGTTTCCCTTTTACTAGATTTACTATTAAAAAAGTACTGGAACAGAAAATTTGTTAAATATTTGTAACTGATTTATACTATGCTTAGTTTCATATATTTTTATTTTTCGTATGTTTTAATTTGAATTTGTGAATTGATTAATAATTAATCGTTAATTAATTTTAAGCCTTTGGAGTAGTTCATGTATTGTTGTTTATGATATGATTAAGTGATATACTGTTAATTTTAAGCTTTTGGAGTAGTCCATGTAATGAAGTTTTTGGAATCGCTCTTGGTCCTTTGGGCTAGGTTCTCGTTCACATTTTGAATAAAAATAGGTGCATATCTTTCCATACATATAAATAGTATTCTTTTAAATAGAATTAAACAGTTTTTTTTTGTTTCTTTGGACTAGGGAATTAACACGCTGATGACATAAAACATTTTCAATGTTAATAAATTGGCTAATAATCTTACATATTTTCTTATATGAAACGTTTTCAAATACCTTTGCTTTTCTTATTCGCGTTTTTCTCATATGGAACAATTTTTACACTGAGGAGATGTAAAAAGGCTCGGTGTTTTGATAATCTTTCTTCTATGCGATTTTTTCTTATATGAGATGTGCTTATATCCGATATCTACTGTACAGATGCAGATGAGTCAAGTTCAAATCCACAAGATGCTCCGCCAATGATACAAGGATCGTATACTCCCAGATACGATGCTTCAATCTTCGCTGCGATGTATGACCGATTTGGTGTGTTTGATAGAATAGCAGAATAAAAGATGGCAATCACAAAAGTCGAAAATTAACATGCTGAACACAAATTGATGATTTTAAATGCATTCTTCGTCGAAAAACAAATTCCTTTCGAAGGTTGCAGATGAATTCAGGATAATCGTGCTAGAGAACATGCCACCTGATTAAGATCCATTTGAATTATCCACCGATTCAAAGTACCTATACAAAATGGCCAATGCAATTTCGAATGGTGTTGTTCCTGCGGATTTGCCTCACATTAAACCAGGACCAATAGCACATTCACGTTGGCTCACCAAGGCGAATGGATTGTTGCGGTTGTATGTGTCAACTGGAAATTCATCAAGGAATTTGAAAATTCTGGCAAAATACATAATGAAAGTGTATGTGCCGATGCACTTCAACATCAAGTACTATAATTCGGTGTTCTTCGGTAGAGCATTATTTTAAAAATTCATTCGTTGGACACATTTGGTCTGTTCCCGTACTGCAAGAATCTACTAGTTTTTACTACGATAACGATTTTTTCCTTTATGATATCGAAGAAAATAGTAAAATCGAGTAGATTCTTGCAGTGCGGGAACAGACCAATTATTTAGATACAAATCTACACGGAGTTGTAAATAATGTCATTAAAGACAATTCATACTACGCACATTCCCAAAATATTTTGTTAGCGATGTTATTTCATGATAAAAAAGAGACACGAAACATCGCAATCAAGAAAATTTTACACTGCCGAAGACCCGACACATCTTAGAGTTTATCAAAAACTTTTGATAAACTCAATTTACAGACTATACGAATATGATTGATTTAAATAAAGATGATGTTTTATTCGAACCATTGCTGATCCAAGAATTCTGATATACATACAAGAAGCGGAAAGACATATTCAATTGCTGGCTGGCGTTTCTAAACGTGTTTTAGAAAAAGTCGGCATAGTGTTATGACAGTCACATCAGAAAGTCGTGCAAAATTAATAAAAATACCTCCAGTATGTTCTCCCGAAGATAACTTCCATCCTACATTATGCATATCCATGATGCATAATAATTTAGCAACCAAAAATGCTTCAATGTCATTTAAATCTGTTCCTAATTATAATAAAACTGACTTCCGAAAGCTAAACGCACTTATCTCAACCGTAAATTGGAGCTCATTATTTATTTGTAAGAGTCATAGTGATCTAGAATTATCAGTATATAAATTTTATGATATCCTAAATAAATTTATTCTAGAATTGTTAGAGTTAAAAACTCGGAACGATATACATGGGTCACATCTGGGCTTTCAAGTATTAAAAATTATAAAAACAAACTTTTTAAAAAAATATAAAAAGTCAGGCTCCTCTATAGATTATGCTAATTATGCTGTCGCAAGGTCTAAATATACAACAGAGTCCCGAAAACTTTACAATCTTTATTTAAACAAGATTAAACATAATTTCAAATCCAATCCTAAATCTTTTTATGACTTTGTTAATATAAAAAGAAAAGCTACGTCAAAACCCACCATTTTGAAATTCAATAATCAGACATTTGAGAAAAACTCTGAAATTTCAGAGTGCTTTGCAAATTTTTTCGCTACAACATATTCATATTCACCCTGTCCAAATAAAGACACTTACAGTACGTTTACATTTAACCGGATTTCGTTAACCCAGTGGGTTTTAATTGTCAATTCCTTTGGATATATGTCAAATAAATCCTCATAAAGTAGGTTAACCCGGTAAAAAGTTCTAATGTATATGCCGTTATATAGCTATAAATTATCGATGGTAGATCAAATATCTATGCCTTTTTTACAAAGTCAATATGTTTCTAAAAATATACGGATGGCATTCCTAGCATAATTCTAAAGTACTGTTCAGATACATTAAAGGTCGTTTACATTGAACCGGTTAACCGAGTGGGTTTAAATTTTCAATTCCTTTGAATATATGCCAAATAAATTCTCATGAAGTAGGTTAACCCGGTAAAAAGTTCTAATGTAAATGCCGTCTTAGCTATCCCATTAACGCTGTTGTTTAATTATTCCCTGAAGTATAGTCATTTTCCTACCTTCTGGAAGAAATCCTATATAGTTCCTTTACACAAATCGGGCAGCTTAACTAATGTCTCGAATTATAGAGGAATTGCTAAATTAAGTGCAATTCCAAAATTATTCGAAAAACTGATTATTGATGTAATTTCTCATAAAGATCAGCCAATCTTAAGTCCATATCAACATGGTTTTCGTAGTGTCCTCTCAACCATTACCAATCTTATTCAATTTTCCTCAACCGTCATAAAAGGTTTTATTCAGCGTAATGAAACAGATACAATTTACACTGACTTCAGTAAAGCTTTTGACAGGGTTAACAATGAACTTTTAATATAAATTAAATCAAATTGGTTTCAGTATAAATTTAGTTAAATGGATATCATCTTATTTGCGAAATAGATCACAGGTAGTTTTGTTTGATGATTGTCTCTCCAAATCCATTAATGTTACTTCCAGTGTTCCCCAAGGAAGTAATTTAGGTCCACTCCTCTTTCTTCTATTTATAAATGATTTACCCAATGCAATAATCCATTCCAAATTTCTAATGTATACTGACGATGTCAAGTTGTTTATCACCCATAATTCCATGAAGCAAGCTGATTTACTTCAAAATGATGTAAATAGCCTTATTGGTGCGAATTAAACTGTATGGATTTAAACCTAAACAAAGTAGACGTATTATGTTGAACACTATGATGGTAATTAAAATACTAAACTGTAATATACCCTCAGACTTCCTAATTTCATCCATTAGAATAAATGTTCCTTTTCGATTAAGTAGATATTACTAACCATTATACGTAGATTTTCATCGCACAAATTATTCTATGGGAGATCCACTTAGTAAAATGTGTATTGATTTCAATTCTGTACGTAGACGTAGACTTTTGCATGAATACAGAACTAATAAAATCTAATATAATTATATTTTTAAATTAATAATACAACTTAATAACAAACTGACTGTTGAAGTAGATTTCTGTAGCTGGTTTTCTATCCCTTCTCATAGTCCATCATAATGCGGATTATGGTGTGTACGCGATCTCTACGAAAGGGGATGTCGCCGTCTCGGTCGGCAGGGGTGGGAAAGTGAGGCGTGGGAATTGTCCATAGAATCATCCTAGGTGCTGAGTTGGCCCGCTCTTCTATATATATATATAGGTTTACAAAAAAGTAAAAGTTTCGATTCTATAAATGATTTAAATAGTATATTTTTTTATTATGCGTTTAACGATAGTAGGTATCATAACTTCATATTTTTATAACTACATATATATATATATATATATATATATATCTTTTTTTAATTATTCTTACACTAAGTGTCGTTATATCTCGAATCCAACGACAGTAATGCCTCAGCATGGGTCGGTATTTACAAAAATGCAATGAGACGTCTAATATTAATTACAAAAATCTTAATTTCTATAGAATAGCACACATATTTGTAATTTCTATATATACTTAGAGCAAACAGATAAATAAAAAATGAACGAATGTTTATATATTTAGGTGGAAACATTTTGAGATGAAGGAAATATTACAAATGAGAATGTGTATGGGAATAACAATGTTGTAAATGCTAACTGCGTATAATAGGGATATCACATTGTGGTGCAACTATTCGGCGATATGTTGGTGTTTATCATCCGGTCAATATGGTGGGGATTCGCCTCCTGAAGGTATTTTTTGAACACGGCTGACTTCATCATAGGCTATGGAGAAGACGCTTTTCTTTTCGGCAATGGGGTTACGACGTCCCATGCTGTTGAGAAGCGAATTCATTGCAATGCCGGAATCCAAATCGTCTTCGAGAGTGGCGGCGTTGAGTTGTTTGTGTATTGAATTGGAGGAAGAATTTGTTGTTGTTGTGGTTGGATGTGTAGCACTGGGATCTTCGATGTATAAATTTATTTTGGAAGCATTATTAACTTTAACTTCATTTTCTTTGATCGGTGAGGGCTTGGGTTTTATATGTTTCATATTTGTTTCCTTGGCCGAAGAAAACGTTGGCGGGGTTTCAGGGTATATGTAATGAGGTAATTTTGATGGTGGCACAGATACTTCGGGAGCATTTTCGCGTTCAAAGCGATGCTCGGAATGTTGTAGTAAGGGATGACTTGATTCCGTTTCGACACTAGGTTGGAGTTGTTTATTTTTCACAATGTCTTCCTTAAGCATGCGAGCTGCTTTGGGTGGTGACTTTCGTGGGGCTGGTTCGGGCTTAAATTTAGGTTCTTCTTGTTGGCTGGCTTCCGAGTGTTTTATATGTAGACGGGTTCGTGACACTTTCTTCTCGCCTGGGTTCTGTACGGTCGATTTTTTACCCGATGGCAAGACCCCTTTCAAAGATGATTCGGTAGATGTACGGCCACTAACTGATGGTTTCTTCTTGTCATAATACCATTCCATGTACTTCGGCACGCTGCCAGCACGCGGTCTGTTATGTGAGGGTTCGTCATGTTCTAGCAGATCGTTTTCACTTTGTGTCACACGACTATCACTTATTTCGGTAGTTGATATTTTGATTCCACTCTCACCATTTGTTTCATACTTTGTTAAGGACACCCGATTTTTTGGTAGTTCATAACTATTTTGTTTGCGTTTGTTGGGTTGCTTCTGAGAATTAGTACTACCGCGAGAACTATCGCTTCGCGAAAGTCTGGTTTTTACTTCTGGTCGACTATCGCCGTGCTGTTCGGATGTGGATTTTGTGGGTTTTTGCGATTTGACATTGCTCTCTAGGTTATTATTGTCACCTACATGAATTTCAAATCTATGTTCATGTTGTGGAGATGATTTCCTTCTTTCAGATTTGTGACGGTGAGATGAATAGTCATTGCTTTTTATTACAATCTCGCCGGCATCCGAATCGTTCGAAAACCCATCCTCATCATTTTTTTCGTAGTATTCGTCTATATCGGTATTTTCATAATATTCCAGCTGTTCTACACGAATTTTTCTACTTTTCTGTTGTTCACTAGAGCTGTATTTCTCATCTAGCGAATCGGATATTTCCATAAGAATATCGCGATTCAAGGCCTCTTTTTTTGTGCGGGAGGAATTTTTTTTATTGGCGTTCTCCTCATTTTTCATTCGCCGCAAGATACTTGCTTTTGTTTCTCCATTATTGCGCGGTGGTTTTTTGGGTGTTGGTTTCTTGCGAGCTTTATAATACTCTTCGTCATCCTCTTCTTTAATGGGAGTTCTAATTTTTCGCTTAACTTCTTCGACCATTACAATCCGTCTGCGGGGCTGGCTTCCATTGCGGTATTTATTACGTCGTCGTTGTTTTTTTCTTTTTATGCAGTACACAACCCCATCTGGACTATTGGGAGAACTCAGACGAATGTATTCATAATCATCGTCATCGGATGCGGAATCATCATTTTCACTGCGCGCTCTACGTCGTGTATTTCGACCTGGCATATCGAATGATCCTCTGTGCAAATAATTGTCATTCATCTCTGTTTGTGTTCCGGTTTCACATTCAGTTTGAGTTGCTATAGCCATCGATTGCCCGGGCAGACTTTGTGTCTCGAGTGCTATATCGTGTTGGACGTAGCGTGTTTCAATCTTTTCCTTTTCTAGGAGAATTTGTCGAAGAAGTTCATTTTGGTGCTTCAGTGAATTCTCAAGCTCTTGAGTCAAAGACTGGTTAGACATGGCGGGCTGTATTTGACTCTGAAACCCGTCCATATGGAGTGTCGCAATGGAACCTTGGGCAGGTTGGGTGTGTATAACCTTAACCTCTGGTTCGGTTTGCGAATAAACAATGCTATTCGGCCCCGATTTGCCAAGCGGAAAGGTATCACCTTTCAGTGTGGAATTTTGCTGAATTTCGTTAGGCATCGATTGTATATACGTAGCACCTGGAACAATTTGGTAATGTTCACGAATGATTTGCTTGCCATCTGGTTGTTCTTCTATAAAACGCCTCATTAGAATCTCCTTCCCGCTATTGTCGACCATCAACAGTTGCGGTTGCGACAAATTAGCATTTTTCGGTGGAACATTCACATATAAATTATCATCGTCGCCCGCTGCCGCCCCATCTCGTGTCTTATCTCTTGTCATTAGTTGGAGGATCTCGATGTTGCCATCTTTTATGAAGAATTCGCGCTTATTTCTTAGACTACTTCTCCCTGTGTTGTAGTCAATGTCACTTCCACGATCAATTTCATGACGTCTCATGGAATCATCGTCAATGTGCTGTTGGTGTTGCGTCATTTCCTCACTGTCGTAACGTTTATTGTGTTGACGGTTAATTTTACTGCGCCGTATATGTATGTGATCATCATCAACCAGTTCACGTTCATCAATAACATCTTCTATGTATACATCACGATCATTAATAAGATTAGTTCTAGAATTATGAAAACTTAGGTGAGTATCGTCTTTGGCCGCACGTGTATTTCTGTAACAGAAACCCGATTATGTGTAAATTTACGTGAATTGAGAACAAAAAATATGCTCTGCTGAACTTACTTTATTTTAACTCGTCTCTGGTTCTCGTCAGCTGAACGTATGCGTCGTGTCTCCTCAGAATGGTTGCGAGCATTAGCGACGTCCGTGACATGAATGGCACCTATGTTTTCGTCATACTGCTGGCGCCCATTGTGGAATTCCCAACGGGTAGGCTTCGTTCTAGGATCTGTCGGTTTGTCCGCGGACCAGGCCTCGCGCCGTCCCATCCATTCGGCGACCTTTAATATATTAAAATTAAAAATGTTTTTATACGTATATTTATGTATACCTTTTTTTACATACATATGCAGTTTAGTGTAAAAAGCCCAAACCCAAGTGAGAAGAAATAATAAAAAAGTGCAAAAATCTAAAGAAAGAGACGACTTCTAATCGTGCAATGCATTCTGATCACATACGAACAGTAAGGAATAAATATTTTTTTTGTTTATGAATAATTGTAACAAGACAGGCTGTTTAATTAATTGTCAAGAAGGACAGACGTGAGCGTCCAAATAATTTGAAAAAGAATTCTGAATATATTGGTAAAATCGTATCTTTTCAGCTAAAAACAGCAGGTAAGGATGTTGAGAATATTGGACGTTTGGATATTCCTGTAATAAGAGTTGCATTCGCAGACAAAATTACCTATATATATATACATATATATATTGAATCACTAAAAACTATAGTTATGTAGCACAAATATGCGATATTATTTTTCAAAAAAGTAATTTGAGCCAAGATATGCCCCTATACGTTGTGCAGCATAAACTATTTGATATGCTATATCTAGTCAAAAATCCCTTTGTCTGTGTGTAAGATTAAATAGTGTGTCTAGAACTCTTTAATTAATATTTCGAATATATGTATGTACTGTCGTTAATTCTTAAAAATGCATTCCCAACCTGAGATACGTATATTTGGACACATTATAAAATTTCTACCAGAATTACATTGCAGCCTACAGTCCAAACCTTATATTTCGATCCAAAACTGTCGACTTTCATAAAATCAGCTACTCTGTTGAGAGAATTCAATAAAAATCAAAATGTGTACAACATGTATTTTGCGTAATTTAATTAAATAATTTTGACAGGCAGTTAGCTAAATAAACATTGACTGACGGGCTTTGTCATATCTTCAATGAATGAAATTATGAATTTCATGAAGAAAATTATAAAAATGTGGAGTGGTGGTTAATCTAGTTTCGTTTTAGTGGAAAATGTGTTAAGTTTTCTCCGTTTCCTATTTTGCTTTGTGTTAATAACCTTAAAAAAAGCATAGACCCATATACGAGCAGGAAGAAAATTAAAATGAACAACTTAATTAATTGTGCAGTAGATTACTACATTACAACTACTTTTGCAAAAATATAATAGTGTAAAGAAAATAAAACAGCGGTTGTAATAACAAGAAACCACATCTACAAATGAATAAAATGTACAATATGTGATAGCAATAGATGTCTCTTAACTACGGAGTTTTTTTTATCGAAATCTACCTGAACAGATTTTGTTTGCTTTCCGTTTGCCATTTCCCTATGTACTAGATGAACATCGTCTTCAGTTCTACTGATATTAACTATTCTTTTGCTACAAGAGAAAAAGAGAGAATTAGAATAGCATGGATGAATGAACAATGAATGTACCATAGGTTACATTTGTAAGTAATAGTAAATTATTAATGGATATGTAATTGTTTTATGGGCCAATGTAGCAGTGTATTTTGTTCTGTAGATAAATGACGGGGTTATTGAACACAATATCAACCTCCACCATACCAAGAGCATTCGTTTCAAAGAATACGCATTTTTCTAATTTTTCAACACTTGTCTTATTTATCCAGCCACATACATTTGAAACGCCAAGTACCATGCACACATATGTTTATATATATTGTCAAAGTTTTAATATTCCATTTTCAAAAAAAAAAAAAAAAAAAACGAACAAAAATATTACTCTGAAGAACAATACAATATATACCAAATTGCTCAAATTCGCGAGTACAACAATCCAATCGATTTTGTAGGCTTCTACTTTTACTTTAGCACAAAAGCCGTGAAATGAGTGGCTTAGTCACCAATCGAGAAAAAAATAAAAAAATCTGGGTTGCCTCAACACAACTTCCACGTAAATAAACATGGGAATCAATATCATAAAAAGTTTGCAACGACAGATCAATAAATCTAATACTATTGAATTTGTCTTATATACTTTAATAATTCTCGAGTTTTAAAGGGTGAACCTCGGCTTCATCTACGTTAAAAAATTGGCAATATTGTCCATATGTATACATTGCTTAACATTTTAAAAGCTAACAAAGCTTTGAAATTATATACCACGATATTTAGACTTCCTAAATCTGTTAAATAACCGTGAATTTCACTATTACGAGTTTATGCAGCATCAAGAAGGTTGACAATATTTTATTTTATTTTATAGGAGATACAAATTTATTATGTAAATGTATACCTATACTTAACAATATTTTGCATTTATTCTGAGAAAAAATCGTCCAAAGAAGGGTTAAACGCCTGTTTGAGTCCGCATATATTTCCAAAGAATTCTTTTTCATTTGACATGACAGACTGATACATGAAATTAATTATGGTTATTCTATCCTGTTAAACCGTTTGAAAAGCTTTTGTCACGGCATTCATTATAGGTGGTGAAAGGAAGTCGTGATCGATTTAGGTCCACACAAATGCCGTTGAAACCCGCCTGATTTTAGGTTTTTTACGTGCCGAATCTAATGAGTCCATGTTAAAATTCCGCCCAATAAAACGGCGGATATAGGTACCTTGAATTTAGGAAAAAGTGCAAAAACTTATTTTGACTAATTCGCGTATATAATCTTATGCACGTTGCGTCATTTTTAGCCATTTTAACAGTTTTTGTATAATAAAGCGCATCGAGCGGCACACTTTGGCCTCTAAATAAAACATCGAAAAATTCAAAATTATTGGAAGAGATTGATTCGGTTTATACGATAACCGCAGCTGATTTCCACGAATAAGCTAATTGCATGATTTTTAATATTGATCATTTTTATGTATTGTAACTGCAACATATTTAGTCATTTTTACAGTCGAAACTGTTATCAGATGAATATACCGATATTTAACAATCATCTAAAAGAATTTGAAAAAGGAAGCGTCGCATATTTTAGAAGATTAAGGCAAAACCGTATTCCCTTAACCATACTAAAAATCAAAAATTCAAAAAACGTCTAGTTTTAATTAAAAAATTAATTTATATTATTTTCCGATATCTTCATGCTTTGCTATTTGTTTTCCGCGACTATTATACCGTTTTGCAATGTGATTTAATAAGTATGCAAAGAAAACAAAAGTGTTTAACCATTTGTGAAGAGATTCGCGAATTACAACAAATAGGAATTCATTTAATTTATATTTGAAATACAAGAAGTTAGTTGGACAAATATATGATGATTCTATGCTGTATGAATGCCACAACTTATGATATTGCTTTATATGTCTTTGGCTGTGACAAATTTGTAATTTTTCTTTTCTTATTGCCATTTTATATTAATTATTTCGTAGGTTGTCCTTTTTTGAATAGAACATTCTGTTGAATGGGATTAATCAAGCTATAAACGTAAACGTCACGCAATAATCAGTCAAACTGTCCGTGATTCTCAATCGCTAGAGGAACGCTGTGGAAGAAATCTATAAAAAAAAGTCCAGTCGGAAATGTGGTCGCACAGCTTTTGCATACGATTTCACAATAGTCTAAAAGGACCTTCGCTGCGTTGATCATTGCCTGTGATAAGTCAGCATTGCAATGCATTGAAATTCCAATGCAAAACCCCCGGTCTATGCTGCGCTGGTGGCGAGGTCCATTATCTCATCCACTATGGCAGTAAAATGCAATGAAAACATTTTCTGTCTAATATACAAAAATACGATGGATTTTTTCAATGACGTCATTTGTAGCCTAAGTTGTTGATCAAACCGTCTACAATCCGATTAATTACGCATCTTTATTTTGAAAATTATAAATTATTACAATCTTTTCGAAATTCATTTAAATTCAGACTCATCAGCAATATGATGCACTTCAATACCCATTGATGTTCTATCGTGGTTGATCCAATAGCAGGTGTGATTAAATATAATATCATATCATCATTTTATATATTTCAATCAGCCGAAGTTACGTTCAGCACACATGTACATATTCTACTTTGGTTGTTTTAAAACCAGTGTTCGAAAATAAACATTATGTTGCCGTACCAAGGTAAATAGGTACAATACAATGAATAGGTACGTCTTGATTTAGATTAGGCGAGTATACTGGCGGCAATACTTATTGTGACAAAGAACATGATTCATGGCCCCTGCGGAGCTCACAACTCTGACCAGTGTTGCCAATTTAGCACTTTTAGTGCTAGATTTAGCACTTTTTAAACTCGTTTAGCACCAAAAAAAAAAAAAAAAAAAAAAAACGCTCTAGCACCTAGCACTTTTTTTAGCATTTTTAATTTGTTCCAAGATTTTTTCAAATTTTTTAGTATCACTTCAAAAAATTGTCGTTTTTCGATTTCACATTGACGTTTCTGTATGTTTTACATAGTGGATTTGATTTTCCAATGTTTTTCCAGTGATTGGAGCAATATAGTCGGACGGGGCTATCCATATGATGATGATATGAAACTACCACAACTACCATGTCGGTGAAAAATTCTGCGAGTTATCCACCTCCTGGGTTATAATTATACTACAATATCAGAACATAACAAGTAAACATGATTTTAAGTTTGGCCCGTCCGAACTTTTTATATCCTCCACCATGAGGATGAAAATCAAAATGTCTAAAATTAATGGGGCCTCCTAGGAGAAAACTCATGTTATGATAGAACCCTGAACATACCGAAAATACGTGGTAAACATATATTGAAATTCTCAAAACATCAAATAGTGGGGCAATAATAAAAAAGAGATCAATAATGATAGCTTTGGTAGTAAGATTTGGCAGTCAATGAGAATACAAAGTACCAAATTACAGCCAATTCGGCTGAAAAACTTGTCTAAAATTCTCAAAATATCAACATGGGTCAATATTAAAAAGTTTTAGTGCGGTGATACCGTTATAAGAACCCAAAATATAAAATTACATCCAATTTAATCGCAAAACGTGTAAAAATCCCCATATTGGCAGGTACAATATAAAGCCGGGTATGCCTTAATCGATATAGAATTTTATTTTAATTTTATTTCCCGTATTTATTGGGTTATTGGTGTCCGGGTTACAAAGGCGGCATCAAAAAAAAAAAAAAAAAAAAAAACAGTGAGCGGAGCAGTATAGCCGGACGGGGCCGACCTACACACCTACCACGGAACTCTGCGGATTTTTATTCCGAGCCTAGGCAACATTTCGTGATAGTTGCACCCTCTTGCTCGATTAGAGGTATACAGCATCTTTTCCTTACACTGACATATTTTCGAATATTACTAATATTCAATACAGTCCTTCTAATTACTTGTCTATATTCTCTTCAACCTGGGTTGTGTGTAATGTTCGAAAAAAACCAAAAAAGTTTAGTTTTCGGTCCACTTCATCCCAAAATTATTATCGGATCGTCGCCGAAAATTATAGGCGTTGTCCTTGGCCATAACTGGGACCTCATTGAACATTTCAAAGGGATCAGCGCTATATTTCCGCCCTCTAGTGTGGTAATGGTTTACTAAATAATATCTGAATATGTAAGCACCTGCAAATATTTAATTGGTATCAATTTAAAGGCCAACCACTCTTCTTGGATATACTATCAACTCATCGGCTCTATGTCATTCAAGAGTAAATATATACGCCATACAATACAATTTTTTCATTTTTCACACAAAAGTCAGGGTCCATTTGACCCTCTAAATATTGACCGATCAAAAACAATAGGGGTATTCATTGGGCCGAACCCATCCTACATGCAAAATTTCGTGTGGCCTGTATGGTGTTTACAAATTATAATGGACAGACGGACGGACAGCTAGTCGAGATATGACGATCGGTATAATTAAAGGTGGGTCTAGGACCAATATTTCGCGGCGTTACAAACTCTTGTAGGGTATAAAACATGACGATCCGTACACTAAAATGAGCGTCCAGGACCAATATTTCGTGACGTTACAAGCTGTTGTAACACAAACACTCATAACATCCCCACCAAATATAAAATATAATCAAATTTCTTTATATTCATTTTTAGCACTATTTTCTGGCACTTTTCTAAAATTTTTAGCACTTTTTAGCATATTTTTTCAACAAAATCTAGCACTTTTTCTCAATCAAGTTTTGGCAACAATGACTCTGACTCACCTTGCATGGAAAACGGAAAAGGCACAATATGTTTTCCCCGTCCGTTGGTGGATGACACAATCCGTCGAATCGACGGATATCCATTGTATCGACTTCGTTCACCACATGAAAACGGAAAATTAATTGTGGTGAAAATAAAGGGAAACTATGTCTTTGTCGATAACCGAATTGAAATGACTAAGTGACGAAATTTCCCTTGGACGTTATGTGAGCTGTAACGAGCCAATTTGACGACAATTTTCTTTTCTCAATTATGAATGTCACCCGACTGTTGTTCATTTAAAAAAAAATAGAGAGCGGCCAGCCAGTTTACTTTATGGATGAAAATGCAGCGAAACGAGAAGAACGACCACCAGCGACAACATTTGCACACTTATTTTCGACATGTGAATCCGATCTGTTCGCACGAACTTTTATCTACCAGGAAATTACACACTATTATATATGTTTATGATACACAGTTCATAAACGAATGTTTATGTCTTCCCTTAATTTGTTGGTGAAAATTTGATTTTTTTTGTTAAAGATATGTCATTGTATTCAAACATACATGTTTATGCATTGGAAGTTACGCGAATTTTATGTAATAATATTAGTTGTATGTAAGAAAGTCGAATTAGCTTTTTTCATGGATTGTGAAATTCCAGTGGTTGCTGGAAATTCCATACTTCGGCAACTGTAACTCGACGATCGGTACTTTCCGTTCTCGATCCATTAGTTCTAATTCACACATACACATTGACTTCTCTATTCTTTGAGTGAATGTCTTGTTTTTGATTTGTTGGTTCTTGTTATACAGTAGATATCGGATATAAGCACATCTCATATAAGAAAAAATTGGATATAAGAAAAATTATCAAAATCACCGAGCTTTTTAACATCTTCTCAGTGTAAAAATTGATTCATATAAGAAAAACGCGAATAAGAAAAACACTGATATGAGAAATGTTTGTCAAACACCAAAGCTGACAAAAGTATTTGAAAACATTTCATATAAGCAATTAAATATTGTTAGTCAAACTATGAACTGATTTTAATTTTGTTATTTTTGTTTATTTAAATTTTTAGTTTTCAAGATACTGAATTTTTTCTTGCCAAACTGTGATTTTATTTCGTAACTTTGTATTTGTATATACTGAATTATTTTATTTAATAAAATGTTGTTTTTTAAAACATGATTTTTATTTAAACATTTTACTTTAAGAAAATATATTCGTTTAAGAAATAGATTTCTTATATGCGTATGTACTCTTATAAGAAACAACTTTCTTATATCTGATAATTCCACATAAGAAAAAAACGCATATAAGAAAGAAATCTCTGAATTTTTTATGTTTCTTATATCCGATATCTACTGTATTGTTACTGGATCTATTGGACATAGATGTGTTTCACTATTCGCATACTTAAAATTTATACAATTATTATTAAACAAATATCGTGATATATCTTATATTTTCATCGTATCTGTCAATAAATTGGACTACACTCCTTGTTAAACCAACGACTCTAAAGGAGTATCACACTTGTTTGTTTTGCATTTGCCTTCATATGACTTTTATTGGATTTATTGCTTTCGAACATAAATTGTTATTGAATTTTCTATTCGAAATATATTTGTATAATTCCATTAGGAATTAAAGATTGCCATTAGGATGGCTAGGGATAGAAAATAGCTCTTGAAGTGCTTAGTTTTAGTTTCATTATCTTTGGGCCCGATTTTCGCTCAATAAATTTGACGTGTCTGATATATAGCAAATATGTATTAAATTCAAAATGAATATACTTACCTTGTAGCTCCATATAGTGGACACCATGAGCATATGCAGCATAACAGTAGTATAAGGATAGTAAGTGCAACCAAAGTGGCCAGAAGTATTAACAACCAGAAAAGGAGTTTATTCTCAGCTTTGTACAAAGTCTGCAATGGGGTTAGATTCTTTTTTTTCAAATTCGTTTATTTTTAGTAAAGAGAATGAAAATTGATTAGACTTACGTCTGTTTCACTCATTCCCACTTCCCGGCCTGTCATTATGGCAAACGAACTGTTGTGCTGCGATAGGCGTTGCTGAATTTGAGAAATATCAACTATGGAGGAACTATCATAGAGTACAGTCGCAGTGACTACACTCCTGTCTTTGATGTCAGGATTTCCAGATGCTATATTTTGGGCACCGGGTTCGTCCGGCTTTAGTGGTCTTATTTCATGGATTATGACCTTTCCGCCAGTAATAGTGGACAGAGTTTCCTCCGTCTTAAATTTATCAGGATTTATACCGGGTACAACGAATGTTACAGCACGTGTGCGACTCTCTGGTGGATAGATGCGTATAGTGGTGGTGCTAGAGCGAACCGGTATACCCAGGTCATATGCACGGGCAGTAAGAATGAACATGTTCTGGTCCTGGGGAGATGGTGTTGCAGCCTGTCGTCGTTGTCTTTGGTTGGTATCTTTTTTTGCTCGGAAATTAATTTTTTCACGTACTGTCAATTCGCCGGTCAACTCATTCAGCTCGAAGTTATTGTCGTAGTTGCCGTTTATTATTTCGTATCGAATTTCATTATTCGGCGCTGTAGCATCCTTATCGACCGCGTGTATAACTGCTGCGGAGGTGAAGCTCTTTAAATCCGGAGCCAAAATAAATTCGTAAACGTCCTTTTCAAAAGTCGGTGTCTCATCATTTACGTCCAGAAGCTTAATGACTAGCGGGACCTGAGCTCTGTTGCCCGTACCATCATTATCTCGTGCCTCAACATACAGATGATACTCCGGCATGATTTCTCTGTCGAAACCGTGCTTATTTGTTGACACAGTTATAAGTCCTGTCTCGGCATCCAAATTCAGTGAGGTATTAAGATATCCTAGGATCGCTGTATAGCGCACACGACCACCCATCCCTGTGTCTGCATCGTCGGCATGGACTTGGATAACTTTGGTACCAACAGTAATGTTTTCTGGCAACTCAACCGTGTACATTGGATGAGAAAATACTGGAGGGTTGTCATTGACGTCATTCAAATATATAGTCACGTTGACTGTGGCCGATAAATTTGTTGCAGGTCCCAGTTCCTGTGCAAGAATTTGAAATTCGACCGTTTGTCTCTCTTCATAATCCAGCAAAATGTTGTCGCGCACTCTGATCAGAAAAGATGCACTTCTCTCAGCCACATTGGGGGAAATTTCAAAAGTTCCATTATTATTTAATAATGTCAATGAAAAGACTCCATTCTTTCCGGTGTCATCGTCGTATACACGCGGTACGTACGGATCGACAAATGTAAGGGCGGTACCTTGAGGGGCATTTTCGTCGACTCTAGATACATAGCTATTTATAAAGAAAACAATAATAGTTAGAAATTTCATAAAATGGGTTTCCGTACTGCAAGAATCTATTATTTTTCCTTTATGATAACGAAAAAAAATAGAAAACATTTGTTGATTCTTGCAGTACGGGAACACACCATACGTTGGCCAAAAGACAAGATAAAAACAAGTAAAAAACATCATTAAACATAAACAAGGGAGCATAACAGAAAAAAAGACTACAAACATTATGCAAATTGCTTTAAAGTACCTATCAGTGTGTTTATACTTACTGATCGTTCTCGAAATATGGCGGTGAATTGGTACGCTCCGGCAAAAAGAATGCAAGTTGAACTGTGGAAGCCATAGCTGGAGGTTCGTCACGACCGACCTTAACCTCTTCGGCAATTACTGTAAGTAAGACGGGATCGCCCACATGCGTGATTGCAGCGATATCCTCAAGTGGTCGCATTAGAAATATTTCTCCTGAAAATACATAACACCACCATTAATAATAATGAAGAAAATTTGCATAGAGTTTTCAAGTACAATTCTTTGGGACATCAATAGGGGTGTCAGTGTACAGAAAAATACTCGAGTTGACAGTCATATTTATTGTTTACTGAGTAAAATTTCCAGTAAGATTTATAAATACTCAGTAATAAAAAATTAAAATAGCACTTTTTATTGAAATTTTATGTAAAAACACAACATTGTCTGTTCCCGTACTGCAAGAATCTACTAAACTTACTACGATAACGAATTTTTCTAGTAGATTCTTGAAGTACGGGAACATACCGTTAGTAACAATTATATAAATTGAATTTGTTATTTCCCTGGTTCTGTGGTCACACAACGCTAATATTTGACTCAAATATGTTTTATTTTATTTGCCCAAAATATGTCAAATTTGAATACTCTTGATTTTTTGCTCACATTGCCCTCAAATAAAATATTTGACAATTTTTTTTGTTCAAGCAGAAGGCATAGACATGTTAGAAATATTTGTCATAAGACATATTGGACGTGTGACAACATTTGTATGATCTAATACAATTTCTTTCAAAACGAGCCTATCATTTCTAAAATTCAGGTTTTTCTATGATGGGGGTTGTCGTTAAATGGTGTACCTTTAAAATTGGACCAATATTGATAATTGTTAGTAGGAAGGAAGACACAATGGGATTCCAAAATACTATACGACGGTTGAAAAACGTTCCGAAAATGAACTTCATTTCATTCAGCTCTATCGTGATTTCAACAGACGGACATAATTAAATCGACATCGAATTTTATTCTGTTTAAGAATATATATATATATATATATATATATACTTTATAAGGTGTTGCAAACGGAGTGGCAAATAAAATATTAACTCCACTTTAGAATGTGTGTACGCATTCAAAATTTTTTGAAAATTTGTAATGTTTTGGAAATGGAAATACCTATATCAGAAATTTTACGTACAGAAACTAGAAGCGTCATATTGGAAACTGAATTTTTCCATTCACCAGGGATACGGAATGCCAAATCACAGAGACTTTGGCTGGAAAATACAGAAAGTGAGACGGTACATATATGTAAAAAGCCAATTCGGTTGCAAGTTGTGGATAAAACCTCCAAAATACCTAAAACAGGAAGGAGCCTCAATATGGACTTCTATTGACCACATTTTGGAAATATGAATGCATTGTATAATTATTGAAGGTAGTCTCATTTGCTAAATCGATGATGGCAACAATTTTTATTTTCGGCAACTCAGTACTTGATTTTGTCATTTTCAAAAAATGTTGAATTTGAAACCGTAATAATTATATGACAGAGAAACAGAAATTTTTGAAAATTGTGTATTTGAAGCATTTGGAAGTGAGATTCTAACTCCATCTTCAAATAATTATCTACTTCGACACTTATTTTTTGTAAAAGGGTGATACTTCGTAATTTTACAATAACAAATGAATTGTTATCCAATTTCGATATAAGTGATCAAATAGCAATTGAAATGACATGGCGTGGAACTATACAAAAGCCCAGTTTTCAGCGATTTACTACATATAGTATAATAAGAGGCAAGTCAGCTTACTTTTGTGTTAATTGAAATTAAATCATTAATTTTTACAGATATGTGCCATCTGAAATTTCCCCAGACGTCGTTGTTGGACCTAAACAAAGTTTGTCAACAACATATTTTACACGCTCGGGATAGAATATACAAAAAACAACCGAAGACTGTAAATCAATAAAATTGTTGAAAATTTAACTACTATTACAATTTAACTAAATAATGTTTTTAGTTTTACTTAGTATTCACCTTAACATCAATATTATGTTTGGCGATAAAGTTGGCGTTAAATGTTGAAGTTTTTTTTGCAAAATATAGGTTATTCATTATTGTTATTGTAATTACCAAAAACTCACTACCAGGCGATATCGTATTTTAACAAATACGGTTATTGAAGAAATGAAACACGCATTCGCCACTTCTTAAACGTATCTTCTTAGTGAAAGTTGAAAGTAACTAAGGCGATAATATTTAAGGTAACAAAACAGTGTCATTTTGGAGTGTCGCTTTATTAACTTCAAATTGTGACGAAGAAGATACTTTTTAAAGGTAACGAGTACGTGGTTCATTTCTTCCCAAAGGTATAACTTATTTGTTAAAAATACGATATCGCCTACGAGTGTTTTCATCGCCTGGTAGTAACTTTTTGGATATGTTTTGGATAGAAAATGCGTATTTTAATTGCTTTTTGATCACTTATAACAGCTTTAATTGCTAATTTAACAAATGATGACATTTCTTTTTCCCCAACACGATTTATTAATATTTTCTGTAATAAATTTGTATCTAGAAGGTGGCAGAAATTATGATCAAAGTTATATATTATTACCAATTGATACCGAACTTCATCTTCTTTTAGAAGTTTGGCATCAACATTTTTAAAATCATCGAAAACATAAAATGGCAGCTATGGCAACAATTGCAATTCTTTTTCTAAGGAAGTGGGCATTATGGAATGTCTTATCTCATTCTTTAGAGTAATTACCTGCTCCGTAAGTGATTTAATTAACATCGGTGTGGCCATTTGATTTTTGTTAGATTCCTTTAAAAATATTTCCATGGTTTCTTTTAGACTTTTTATTTCAATTTGATGTTCATAAACAATCCGACTTTTAACATCTTTAAGATTTAAGAAAATTACATGTAAGTATTGCATAAAAATTGCTTTAGTTTTTAATTTAATTTTTATACCCTTCACCACTCAGTGGTAGAGGTTATTATGACTTTGTGATTATGTTTGTAACAGGCAAAAGGAAACGAGATATATATATATATATATATATATATATATATATATATATATATATAGGTCAAATATATTTTTTCGTCTGATTTAATGTAAATGGTGCACCAAAGTCAATATATATCTTCGATTTGCACGGCATTGCGTAATGAATTAGGTCTAGAATGATGTGAGTTAAGTTTCGTGAAAATCGGTTCAGATTTAGATATAGCTGCTATATCTCTTTTCTTCCGATTTTATGTAAATTGTATTCTAAAGACCCACAGTTGCCCGATTGCCACACAATTTGGTACAATGAACTGAAGTTAATATAAGTTAATCTCTGGCAAGTATCATTGAAATCGGTTCAGATTTTGATATAGCTAATATCAGGGACGTAAGCAGGGGGGCCGCCCGGCCACCCGGTAAATTTATGTTTGCAACAGCGAATTTTTTTCATTTTGTACTCAGAAAGGGATTCTATGCATCAATTGACTCGAAAATATTTAATAATAATATAACTCACATTACCTTGTTTTTCGGCATCTTTCTGTATTATTTGATACAGCAATGAAAAAGGTTTCAGGCCGAAGATTTTTTATAATGAAAATGTAGTATTATCCACAAATTTTTATTCGATGACAAATATTTATAGAACGACAATTAAATTACGAAGCTGTAGAATTTCCATCTTCTTTCATTTAACTAACTAGTTACTGCAGACTATCGAAATTGGATAGCAATTCATTTGTTATTGTAAAATTACGAAGTATCACCCTTTTACAAAAAATAAGTGTCGAAGTAGATAATTATTTGAAGATGGAGTTAGAAACGCACTTCCAAATGCTTTCAGGGTTGCTATTTATTCCTTTTTGTGTTCATACACTAAGCGAAAAAAGTCGAAATAAGTTCGGAATAAGTCGAAATATGTGACCAATACTATGGCAGGAGGGCAAAACAGAAATAAATATATCTTTATATGGGAAAATGTATCATCAACAACTATATTTGCAATGAATATAAAATTGGTTTCTTCTTTAAAATTTGAAAATAATATTTTTAAAAAAAAATTCTTACAGTATATGACATAGAAACAAAACTTGAAAATTTGTATTTCAAGCAAATACAATCACAAAACATGAATGTATTAGTGTGGACAGTCCTGACGTAAAACCAATAAGTGCACCGTTAATAATGTATCTCAATTTGGTCGGAATTGTGGAGAACAACATAGAGATGTTCATGGCTAAATTGTCAACAAAATGTCAAAGAAAGGTATTATTTTTCACTGTAGTAAACTATCAAAAAATTTTAAACGGATTTACCTTTTCATATAAGCATTATTAAAATAAAGATGAATGAATCAAAACTCTCATGATTTTATATTAAACATTATATTTTGAAATTCTGATTTATGTATGATAAAATTATTTTTTTTCCTTTAGACGTAAACTTACCACTAGTATCATTTATGTCGAAAAATGATGTAAATGGATTGCCTTCCGAAACCAAACCATAACGAACATCTCGTGGGCTACCTTTGTCACCATCTTCTGCATGAACTTGAAGAATCTAAAAACGAATGAAAACACATTTATTAATTAGAACATATTCTTTTATTATTGTCTGACAATAATGCAATGTAGGATATATGTATCAATTGTGAATAAGAAAAACAATTCTGCATGCACAGTCTAGTTTTATCAGATGAATTGATATACCGAATACAATACGAACGCGTCCTTACACACCTCGATATTATAGGGATTTGTCACAGTACAATTATACAAGGTAACTGCAAACCGCAGCTGATTTTTCCGACGTAATATTTTTTTTTCATTTTCGATATTGCAGATTATATTTCTAAATACGACACTGCAGGGAAATTGATTGCGCCATTAATAATACATTATAAATGTTATAGAAAAAAATCATATTCTCAAATGATCAAAAATAACATATTTTCATCAGTCATCGCCCATAATATTTATTAAAATGTATATTCACTCTTCGTATGGATTTCACATTTTAAAATTGGCCATATAATATATAATACAATATCACTTGTTGCATATGCCAACAAGGTAAGTTTGACAGAAAGATGCACTGCATTTTTATAGTGCCTTCGAAGTTATTTCAACTTCTTATTATACGATGGCTCGTCATTTCTATTCGAATAATTTGTAGAATATCTGAAGTTGAACTTTGTTACTGCCTAAGTTAACACAACATCCTTTTTTTTAATATATATATATATATATATATATATAAAATAGGCTTCTTATTTTACCAAAGTGTCTATGTAAATAAAAAAGAACTCACCTTGTCCCCAGGAAGTATACCTGTAGGTAACTTCGTAACTGGTGGGGCCATTGTAAATACGGGTGGTTGGTCCTGAACGTCTTGTATAATAACAACAATTTCCATACCGGCAATATTACGGCTATCTTGGCCAGGTTCAGCATAGGCGTCCTAGAAAAAAAAACAATTCCGAAGATTTTAATGCAAAAGTTTTTTTTATCAATTTTTCTTTTTATAAATTTAATCAATCTAATCTCTAAATTAAAGTGGATCAATATTGATCATTTTTAGTAAGAAGATTTACTACATCACCACAATCCAAAATACCAAATTACAGCCAATTGCGGCAATTGAAATTGTTCTGGATTGGTATTTCAAATTACTGACACTACAAACAAAATACACAGAAAATTGCCGGTACGAGCAATTTTTTCCCATTTCTCGCCTAATCTAAATAGGGACTATGATAAAAGCTGTATGTATATTAGTATAGAGTGTGGGACCTTTTACAAAGGCAAATTTCAAATGTCTTTCAATGTTTTTGCTGCCTTTTCAAACAGAATATCTGTATTCTAGCTTTCATCCATATATCGAATTCATCCCGATGTAATTTAAAAAAAAATATTGGAAAACAATTTATTTTTTTCGAAATTGTCGTTCTAAATACAGAAACTATCGTCAGTCAGGGTAAATGCTAATTCAAATTAACAAATTTTTCAATGCCAATTAAGACCCTCATCTGTTTACGGTATAAACTGTGGGAATTAATTGAAAAAGTACAAAAGTATACAATCGTAATTTTTTGAAAATATACCATTTATATTGGCAGGAATGTAATACAATCGAGACTTTGCAGTTTATCTCCTTTTCCATTTTAATATTTTTATTTATTTCCACATTTTCCTATTGGTATACATTTCAAAATTATGAAAAATATTCATTAAATTAAATTGTACATGTTACAACATAGGAATGTTTTCAGAACGAAGACACATATACAGAGGAGTATTTTTCTAATTGTACCTATACTGAAAATTATCATAATCAAAGATACAAAATTACGGACAATTCAGATGGAAAATATTGCTACGACCAACCAAATCACATGTATCATTATTATCAAAAAAAATTGGATATATTATTTTCAAATCGATCAAAAGGTGCAACATTTATAAAAATTTTGCCAATACTTATAAATGCTAGCAACCGATATACGTGGATGTTGAATGTTTAAATGTTGGAAATTATACTATTAATAATGTTACATCTGACGCCTCGCATAAACGTGCATGTATTATGAGGCAAAAGAACGCTTTGTGGTCAGCTTGATTCATTAAATAAAATTTGAGTAAAAAAGTTACATGATTTTTTTTTTTAATTATTATTAGTAATTATTGTTTGAGAATAAGGTTGTTCACATACTTACATTAGCCAATATGGTTAAATGATACATTGCTTGTTTTTCGAAATCCAACGGACCCAACAGAAATATAGTTCCCTCTGTAGTTTCAGGGGAAACAATTTTCTGTCGAATGGCAAATAAAGGCGACCCCTGAAAAAAGAATATATTATTTTGATATCAATTTATAAAGTTTAAAATGTTTATTCATATATAAAAGGAAAAGTAGTTAGTTATAAGTAAAGAACGGCTGTACCGATTTTAGTGATTAGTGTAATATCTTAAAAAATTCTGAAAATACGCGAACACTTTTCAAACAAATATTTTGAAGCATATTTTCATATCCACGAATGTTCGATGTTTTCAAAGCAATGCCCTACATTATAATCCTGAAAATGTAGTGGAAATCGTAAACGTTTGATGCGCGTAGGAATGTATTGTTTTTAAATGATCTGTCATGTCTGCCATATCGAGCTCACAAAATTCTAGCAATCATTACGGCGGCAGAGGAGGCGGTAGTATAATGGGTATAGATAACAATGCCTTTGGCAACAATTTGTTATCGACATTCCCCCATAAAACGACAGCCAGAACAGCATCCACGGCCATTTTGTCGGCCTCACCATATAAGTTAGCAACGGGCTCACCGTCACAGAAAAAATCCACAACAACATTGATCCTCTTCAAATGCGACGGCGATTTCGATATTGCAATGGAATCCCCTAACTTTTTATGTTTCAACATAGTCCCCATTGGCGCGTCATTTTCGTTCATACCCTAAAACCTATTTCCAAGATGAGTGTCTGTAGTTTTGTATTTCGTTTTCTCCTGGCTGCTATTTACCAATATATCGACCCATATGAATTTCCCGTCAGATTTTAGATGTTTTGCCTGGGCGATCTTAACACGTTTATATTCGTTTTCAATTCAAAAGTTGTCAATAACAATGACATTTACTAACTTCAATTATGTTAAAAGTGGGTGTTTTCAAGAAAAACTGAATTTGAAAATGTTGTAATATTATATTGGTAATGACATTTGGAAAGGTGTGGGGCGATTACTGATCTGGTATCACTGATAATGTTATCTTAAAAAATATTTATTTGAAAACGGAAAATTTGATATGGACTACTTACACATCGTATGATATGTTTTCAAACGATAAATTCAGCTGTTTCCGAGATAAACAATTTGTAAAAAAATTGATGTGTGGGAGATCTGCAACATCATCCACTTTTGGCAATAAAAATAGCTTACAACCTATTCTCAGACCTACAGAAGCTAAACACAAAATTTGATCAAAATCGGGCACGCCTCTTCGGAGGAGTATTTATACATACGAATACATATTTATACGAACACTATACATGACATAATTATACAAGGTAGTCTCATGCAGTCATATGTTTCCAATTTTTTTCATAAATTTGCTGTTGACAACATTCAGCTTTCAAAATTTAAATGAAAATACTTTTCTTCGGTACGTACGCATAACATGTGTTTAGTGGAATAAATTGCTATATAATTTATATTTATATTTAATATTTTAAAGTTCCCTGCCTCTAAAACTTATAAATATAAGTTGTAACAAGCATGGTTAAATTTTGAGAGCAATGCACAGCTTTAGAAAATATATTTTGTTTAATTTATTGAAAATATGCCAATCGACATACATACATTAAATTTTATGGTCTTTATTTTTCATTTTATTTGAATTTGATATATGAATTCCAATTTAAAAAGAGTTGACATCATAAAATTCTCAAATGAGACTACCTTCTGTAATTATGCCATGGGCAAAATAAAGGCTTAGCAGAAAAATGTGTATTCAGATAGAAACTGGTAATTTTTGTGTTCTCTTGAACAACTCTTAAATGGATTTTCTTCTTCTTTGATGAACCTGGCATTATAACTGAAATTTTTTGGTAAAGTTTGCCAGCGTTAGATTAAAAACCAACTTTTGTGAGGATTGTTTAGTTTTACGTATATTGGTACCAAGTTCGTTATAACCAAATTAAAATATATGAAAACTGAATGTTGGGACCGAATAAATAAAAAAGTTCGCTATATCCGTAGTTCGCTATGGGAGTAAAGATTTGTATGAAAAATATGTCTCAAAACCTTGGGAACAGCAAAATTTTATAGCGAACACTTTTGCTGTTCCCAAGGTTTTGAGACGAAGTTCGTAATATCCGGTGTAGTTATAAGCGCACTCGACTGTATAAAAAATTACAGCCAAATACTTAATATTAAGGGAAACCGTTATATGGGGACTAGCCGGATAAATGGTCCAATATTGATCATTTTAAGTAGGGAGAATTTCCACTCTATAAGTATCCCTAATATAAAATTAAAAGCAATACCGAAAATTGGAAGTAGTGGTAAAAAGTGAACCAATATTGAACATTTTCAATACCAAATATTCTAGGAGTAGTAGCTATGTATATGGAAATTTCGAAGCTCTATCTTAAATTGTGGAGGATATAAAAGCTTACCTAATATTGGGCTACCGTTATGTGGAAATCTTATACATATATTGGAACACATTTAATAAATTCCGTAAGTCAAACATTTCAATTTATTCAATTTATTTTTCTCGAATTCCATTATTAATAAACTTTTATCCACCGAAACTTTACAAACAAAAAAGAAACAAGACTCGTTCATAATCAAATTGTAGACATTCAGGACTGTAATGTAATTTACGTGAGCTCTGATAAATACCAAGGTATTACAAATCTTACGGTGGATGGTATAAAAACAAATATAGAATGCCGAAAAGTGTACATCAACAACTCTACTCTAACGCTACTACAACGTTTGCGGGTCAGCTAGTTTTATATATATATATATATATATTAAGATAAGGGATAAGATTTCCAATCCTATAAATCAATACCGTTTTTAGGCCACGCATAAAATGGAATGCCCGATTTGATCCAAAATTTGCAACTCTTTGATAAACACATATACCTCATGTACATAAAAAAAAAAAAAAAAAACCGGTGTGTAATTCCGTAATACCACCGCAACTATCGGCTGAGGGTATATATCTGTCGTAGATAACAACGAGGGACACTTTTTTAAAATTTGGCATACAATCAAATCGGTCAACCAGTTAACAATAATATATTAATAATATGCTGCGAATAGTAATGTTTGACGAAAATATAGTCTAAATAGTGAAAACCAAATAGGATAATAGGTACGTGAAATGTGCACCTAATTCAACTTATTTTATCTAAATACTACAAATGTATTGGTAATTTGCATATAAAATGCTGACAACAACTTACCCACAACTCAAGGTATACTGGCTTCTGAAAAAGCGGATTCTTTCGAGCAATGACGTAATCTAATTCTGTACCCCGTTTAGCATCCTGCAATGGAATTAAAAAAACAAACAATTGCGTTCATAATTAAATTACCGCTATGTGGCACATATTTTGAAAGTTAAACAAAAATTAAATGTACTGTACTGGAATGGAATGGAACTCACCTCTGGAATCATAATAATGCCTGGCTTGTGAGGAAATATAAGATCGTGCGGTGTTGTAAAGTTTGTTGCTGTTATCGAACACAATTGAGTTGCCATTCCGCCCTTAACGTCTTTTACCGCTACCTGGAAGTCGTAATATCGACCAGGTTCCAACCGCCGCTGTAAAACCACATTAGCTTGGCACACGGAATTATATTTTGTGCATGGAAGTGACTCAATCTTGACTGTCGACGACGATGCATCGCCTACAAATTCAAACGTCAGCGGATAATCGAATTCTTCGTCTGTGGCCCTAAGTCTGTATATCACAGAACCGACTTGGGCATCTGCTGGAACTAAAACTAAGCGCATTCGAGTAGACGGATCAAATTTTGGATCTACACTCAATACAGCATAAGGGCATAAAAATCCGATGATGAGACTTATAGTTAATATTCTGTATGCCGTTATCCAACTTAGTAGGGCAGTGGTGAAACGACGCATAGCAGTCTGGAAAGGTTTCATGGAAAGGGAGAGCACTTGCCTATTGGCGATCAGTGGCTTATGGCAGTAAAATGGACCGCTGGTTTTCTGTGTTGTAATTTCAAATTGTAAAGGTTTGTTTGATATGTGCTTCGTACATAAAATGGGATTACTTTGATCCTGTTGTTGTCCCTGCAGCTTCCAAAAATATATTCGTTTTCTCTTCCCCTTACTACCGGTTTGCGCATATTTCATATTTTTTGAAGTCATCTCTGAAAAAATAAAAAGAAAATTATATTGTTAATCAAACTCTAATCATAAATGCAAGAAAAAAAAATAAATTATAAATGAAATACTTAGGATATCATTTGTATCAATTCCAAATGAAATCACTATTGAAATACGAAGTAAAAAAATATGTAACTATTTTAAATTGTAACGAGGGTCAGTGGTCGCTGTAAGCGGTAGTCGATATCAAATAAACTGCAGAGCCGAAATAAATAATATAATAAACTCCATAAAAGTTGCATTCAAATAAACGGTAGCATTTGAAGTTTTAAAATACACTGGTGACCAAAACTAAAGCAACTGAAATTGTAAACTGGTACAGGGTATTATGTCTTTGTGCATATGTTTGTAACAGGCAAAAGGAAACGAGATAGACACATGGTTCCTTTTGAGAATATGCATAGCATCCAGAATGATGTGTGCTAGGTTTCATGAAAATCGGTTCAGATTTAGATATAGCTCCCATATATATTTTCGTCCGATTTAAGGTAAATGGTGCACCAAAGTCCCTAAATATCTTTCGATTTGCACGAAATTTGGCACAGCGTACTAAATTAAGCCTAGAATGATTTATGTTAAGTTTCCTGAAAATCGGTTCAGATTTAGTTATAGCTCCCATATATATTTTCGTCCAATTTAAGGTAAATGTACACCAAAGACACTATATATCATTCGATTTGCTCGAACTTTGGCACAACGTAATGAAATAGGTGTAGGATAATGTGTATTAGTTTTCGTGAAAATCGGTTCAGATTTAGGTATAGCTCTCATATATATTTTTTCGTCCGATTTAATGTAAATGGTGCACAAAGTCCATATATATTTTTCGACTTTCAAGAAATTTGACACAGCGAAATTAATTAGGTCAAGAATGATGGGTGTATACTTTCGTCCGATTTTTAGTAAATGGTATACCAAACTCCTCATGTTTATCAGATATTTATCCAAGTAATCAACGGGTGTCCGATTGATATTTGCTTTAAATCGATTTACATAATTTTGTCCCATTGTATTAAGCAACTCTATATCTGACCAAATGAAAAATTTAGTATAGGTTGCAGAATGACATATTTATAGATCCAATTTCAGTTTACTGGACTTTCAAAAATGCGACGTCTGTTAGGATTCATCTGTTGAATATATCCAAAGTGGTGAAGGGTGTTATATAGTCGGTCCCGTCCGACTTTACTACTTTCCTTACTTGTCTTGTTGTTAAAGTTTTTTTTTCAAAAATAGGTAACTTATCCAACAACAACCGTCTCAAAAATTTTGTTGAACTCCTTGAACTTGATTTTTTTACTGCTATAAAAATAAAATAAAATCCGTATCAAAATTATCTATAGGAATCGAAATAGGTGTAGAAACCAAAACATAGTAATTGTAATGGTAATGGTAAAAATAACTGAAATCTTGTAGCTCATCTGATTGTACTGTAGAGTTGCTTTAGTGTTGTCCAAGCAAAAAATTGAGACAATGCCCTTATGCATATTTTATTATTTATTTCATAGTAAATTATTATTTATTTCATAGTAAATGGCCACCAGTGTATATAGGGTGCCTAAGTAGGAATGCTTTTCCAAAAGTCTTTTTTGACAGACTACGTAGAATCCTTGTCATATTCATATTAATGTCATATGTCATATTAACACTTCAGTGAGGAGATAATTTCACGTTTCGGGTCGTTCGATTGGCCCCCCAGATGGTGTGTTGTCACATCTATGTGGGATATGTAATGTTATTTCAATTTCAAAAAAGTTAATTTCAATTGGAAAAGTTGTCATTTCGTTTGAAAAAAAGTTTATATTGCCCCATAAATTATTTTATTTATTAACTTTTAAAATATATTTTCCCCATGTGCATTATTGTGTAATTTACATATTTGTCTTTATTTCACATTGACTTATTCTAGTCGTTGTTGGCTACGTCCGTTACAAGACTATTTTAATATTAGGAGCGTTTTTTTTTTATTAAATGTTTGTTTGTAATTACAGTTTTGCAGATTTGTTTTTAAACATAATAATTATTGATTTGTTTTGCTATATTACATTCATTGAGATTTATTTAGGATTTGGAAATAGGATTTATTCACTGGAGCTTATATTTTATGGTGCTCCTAGGTCGTAACATTAATCATGCACTCCAAACAATCCATTGAAGATGTTATAAAATTTCTTCTATGGTCGATTAATAAATAATGCTGTAGGGCACATTTTGTCGGTAACTCTTTTAATATCAAATGCTCGTTTCAGATTAGTTTTTTGTAATGACGGGGCAGATGATATTTTCAACAAAACAACAACTACAACTGATTTAAATTGAGCCGTACTTAATAACTCATGATATATTATATTTTATATTTTTGCGCGGAAACAATAAAAAACAGCACTGTTATTCACAGTGCTGATTACAATTATGCAGTCGTTCACCAGTAATGTTTCTAAATTCAAATGACTGTGCGAAGAATTGTGGCGCCAAACTAATCCTTATAAGTAAAAAAACAAATATTTATAAATACATATCGACTGAGAATGGTCAGTTTGCGAATATTGGACATTATTTGTGTAACAGTGGATGTGAACTGTTCTGTTGATACCGATAACAATAGAAGTATAATAAATTATTATAACGATTGAGAAATGTACATACATATTTATGTTTTAAATGAAATGCCTGAATGTTAGAGCAGAACATTTTTTATTCTAAAGTGGCTTATCAAATCTTTGAATTTTATTTTAATGTTTGTTGTCATGAGTACGTAAATTTTTAAAACTATCTGTAATCACATTCAGCCATGGCAAGTAGGATGGATTTTTTTAAACGGGGACAAAGTTAAGATTCAGAATCTGCGAGAATCTACTACGTTTATAATTTTGCAGAAAATCTTTCCCGTCACTAACACCACAAAAATGTGAAAATCAGTATAAGAGAACACGAATCCACGACATTATCTTTAAAAAACATTTTACCTGACTAATAAGGTGCAGTAAAAACACAAGAACAATTCAACATAATGTCAATTTTAAAATGTATTTGAATTGGATAGTCTTCAAATGTTCGTAAAAGTTTTGTTGGCAAAATGTACACTAACACTAGATTTACGAAGTGAGTCCATTTTTCGCACTCTGTAAAAAATTGGATACTCCGTTCGCATTGTAAGATATTTATACATTCACAAAATGTGGACCCTTTGTGGGCTACAATAATTTCCACCTTCGAACACGATATAGTTTTGGTAAAAATATTAGTTTATACACAATTTCGATCAAAACATATAATCCTTTAACTGCTTATTATAAATTTATGTTTCACCTAATTTTTGACCATTTGCATAAGAGGTGCCAGAAGGAGTGGTCTGATATTCGTCATCTTCGAGCTTGATTTAGGCATGGAAGAAACACTACTATGTGCAAAAATTTGGTTAAAATATGTAACTCTTTTCGAGATTTATCGTGTGACAGCCAGGCAGGCTGTCATTTTTCAATTTTTTAGAGATCTATATCTCAGTAATTATTCAACAGATATAAAAATTTTATGGCTGGTTATTGTCCTCAGATACTTAATTATAAATACTGGTACCAAAAACATATGATAAATTAGTATTAGTTATATATTTTAACAGTTTTGTCAAGAAAGTCAAATTCGCCGAATGTGCCCTTACTCGGATACATATATATATATATATATAGTTGCAATAACAACTAATTTCAAACCATTAACATGATAAAATATAAAGCTCATATATGAAAATAGTTTGGTCTAGAGATAACCTTGAGCGAACCGACATAACAATTTTAAAAGCATTCATCATTCCCTTTAATTGCTTAAATTTCCAACTTAGTGAATAATTTCCCATAACAATCCTATATTTCATTTACACATTGCCAACAAAAGACATGTTTCAATTTTTTGATAAAATGCTCCCAATATTGAATGCTAGCAATTATCTTCGACAATGTGCAACGTACATATGTACAATATTTCCTTGGTAATATAACGTTCATGAACACATAGATGGTTGTAGTAAGAGTTAAACCTATTAACAAATTTCAGCATCAACATTAACACCAACCAAACATTGGTTCATTCATTAGTTGTTTATTTCAACATTGTCCATTATGTTTTGAGAGGCTTCCAAAGTCTGTTATTGGGGTATTTCATACGCACACGTCGTCATTAAACATCCGTAATTATAAACAATCTCCAGTTTTTGCAATACACAAACCCGTGTTATAAAAAAGTAAATTTTAATTTTTAATACTGGTGGAGACAGTCAGATAATCGATAATTCGATTTTTAGACATAACAAAATTGTTTGTTTCACACATATCTCTATCTTAAACTTAATTTAAATCTATTTATATAAATGATGAAAAAATGTATAGTAACTCATCAATTGAGAACGGCGGCACCGATTTGACTCAATATTTCTTTAAGTTGTCTGCAATTGAAGTGGGAATGCTTTTATGAAAGAACATTTTGAGAAAAATCCGCGAAAATCTTGCAAAACATATTTTGAAGGAACGGCTGGACCGATTTGCCTACCATTATGTGGGACATGTACCATAAAGTGATACTATACCGACAATTTACAGAGAAGTTCCTTATCCTACATGACATACCGAAATAAAGGCAATGTATACGGTATTTAATACTACATAAAATCGTACTATACCAAAATATGGACCAAATATAAGGAGGCCTAAAAACGCACAATAATGGCGAGCCATTTTTTACGTTATATACATAGGATATACCAAAATGTCCATCACAAATACCTCAACAATTTATCTTACTATGGAAGGTATTATTGAAAATGTTATTATATTCGAGAAGTATATATATATATATATATAAATTCGAATCCTTCATGGAGACAATTGCGCATTAGATGATCTAGGTGTCTAACTAATATGTGCCTTTGACCTTGACTCTCATTTTCCTTCGATTGTTTTTAATTGCAGTGGGAA